ACTATAACCCTTAAAAGACCTCTTGATTCTCAAAATTTTCATGATATAGTATATGTGGTGATAAACGCATGATTCGATGTGATGTTGATTTAATTGTTCGGATGAGTGTAAGAAAACCCTTATGATTATTCATCATCACTATGATGTGTGTGTAGTTTTGATTCAATTTTGACATGTATTGCTTGAAATTTCTTGGTATAATTTTTGTATCCAATCATTATTTTTTATTCATGTTTTGTCTAAAATCGAAAGTAAGTGTATCATAAGAGTATCGTATGCTTTTGAACCATTTGAATGTCATCCTCTAGCACTTGTTTCATTCCTTGCTTTCGTAAATTGGGTTGCTTTAACGAATGACTTTTGTTTAGGGACAAACAAAATGATAAGTTGGGGAGAGTTGTTAGGGACCAATTGGTACTAATTTTTATATATTTTATCGGTCCCTTTTTCCAATTTCTTATTAAAATCACACAAGTTTTTATCACAATTTAGTACGCATTCAATTTAAGTTATTGTATTTTTATTTCGAATAGATATTTCACTTTTTCTTTAAGTCTTGTAGAATGTTTTGTCAAGAAAAGAAGGATTACATAAATAAATCTCCGGAGCAACATTCGAAGATCAAAGTTTGGCAAAGGAAGTGCTGAAAAAGCAAGCAAGCCTCAAGTTGCCCAGTTCGCGTTGCGAACTGACTGAAAGTCAGGCACATGCAATTGATGACACATGTTGTGTCTTGGAAAAGCAAACCAACTTTTGTGTAAGATGGCGCCCCAAAGCCTATATATACCTTTTTCCTTGCATGTAAAACATCATCATTTCAATTTTAGAGTTTAGTATCTCTTAGGCTTGTAAGGAAATCTTAGGGAGATTTCAAAGTGGATTTTCTGAAGTTTTGGAAAAACTTCATGCAAGAAGAAATTCTTGAAGTTTTTTCTGTGTATTCAAGGAAGATGATGAGTAACTAATTCCATTCTTGTCAAGATTGAAGTATTAGTTACCTTATGTTGTTTATGTAATATCACTATCCTTGCATGTAACGAACTACATTTGATGTAGGGAATAATATTTTCTCTTTACATTGAAAAATTAGAATTAAATCATTGTTGAGAAAGATAGTTCAATTCTTGATCTAAAATATTTTTCCAAATAGAGAATAAATTGTATAGATAGATTTGTTCACTACTTTTCTTTGATGTTAAACATTCAAGATTATTATATCAAGAGTTAGATGGAGAAATCGTCTAAAGATTTATATAATAATTATCACAATTTTATTTAGACATAAATATTATTGAGAGGACATTTGAATGTTATCAATGGAGTTTGAATGCATGCATGTGATATTAAGAACATATAAAGAACAAAGATAATGAAACTCAATCTTGACAAGGTTTCCAAACTTTATTCTAAAACCATTTTCATTGTCTTGTTTTTTTTATAAGTAATAAGAACGATTCATTCACCAACAAACAACTTGAATATCTTTAAACTTACAACAATCGAAATTATAGAACGACCGTAATAACAAAAATCTCTGTGGATATGATATTAAAAATATTTGCCAGAAATATACTTTTCAACAGTGAGATGAAGGGGAGCTGGCCAAGGCGGCTGAGGAGAACAAGATCCTCGAGGGGAGGATCGTCGAATTGGAAGACGCTGTAGCCTCTGTCGATGACGAGTCCGTTGAAGAGGAGGCATTGCTGACTCGCGGTGAGTAGGTTTCACGGATCATGGTCCTTAAGTAAGATTGATTAGATACCGTATGGATGGTTTTCAATAATGCAGTTGCTCAGCTCCAAGTTGTGAACCCCGGGGTCGAGCTTGTCACCGAGGGGATTGGATTTCTAAACTAGGTGGTCGACGGTAAAATAGTCGCTCCCCCTAGCCTTGACAGCGACACCGAAGGGGAGACCCAACCCGAGGAGGAGGAAAATGTTTAGATTTATTTGTTTGTATCTGTTTGGCATGTGTGCCATGATTCGTATTTGTCTGGCATGCGCGCCATAATTTGTAATACTTGAATAATAGGCTCTGCACGTTTGTTGTAATGCTTTGACGTCATCGTCCTTTGTGGCCATTATCTTAATATAACTTTTCTTTTTTGACATGTGGGTATATGCCTTTGTATGTTTTGCTCGCCGAGTATATAGTGTCCTTGGTTAATACTTATGTTTGTTTGCGAATTATTTTTTCTAAGTGTCCGTGGGGTTTTGTTCAACAGAATTGGTGCTCGACAGTGTAGGGAACTTATTCGAGTGATCGGATTTGGCTTTCGATTGATAGCGGTGGAAAGATCTCGATTGAGATCTTAACACCACGGCGTGAACTTTCCATCGCGAGCTGGGTGTTCTGCCTTAGTGGTACAATGACGGTGGAACTCAGTTGAGTTTTCCTCGTCAGGCTAGGGATCTGCTCGTCAAAGAGTGGAAACCTGCCTTTTTGTTTAAGTTTGGGACGTTGTGCTTGTACCCGAGCACACCTCCGTGGTCGAGGCACATCCTGTCATTGTTAAATAGAGTACACCGACTATCAGGCCTAGCAGTAATACTGTTGACTTTTACCTTTCTTCTTGTCGAACTTACCATCCTTTTGCAAGAATTTTTCCTTAACGGCCAAACCTTCACCCACCAACGAAGGTTTATGCTCTTTCGTTCGTTCAAGTCCTTAGAATACAAGGTTGATTGAACTTCTTCAAAGCTCAGAGACTCCCTTCCATACAAGAGAGTTTCTTTGAAGTGAATATGTGTTCTGAGCAAAGCACACAACAGCAGCAGTGCTTGATCTTCATCATCGATCTTCACATCAATATTTTCAAGATCAAGAATCAGCTTGTTGAATATATCTAACTGCTCAGCCAACACTTTGTCTTCACTCATCTTAAATGAATACAAAGCTTGCTTCAGGTAGAGTCGATTTACCAGAGATTTGGTCATGTACAAAATTTCAAGTTTCACCCATAATTCTGATGTTGTAGTCTCCTTTGATACCTGCCGAAGAACCTTATCACCAAGGCTCAACAAAACTGCGCTGTGAGTTTTCTCAATCATGCCCGTCTTTTCTTTTGCTGTTAACGCAACGTCCATGGCTGCCTCTCCCTTCAACACTTCTAAACAACCATGCTGAATCAGTAGGACTTTCATCTTCAAGCGCCACAGATTGAAGTCGTTCACTCTGGTGAACCTTTCAATCTCATACTTTATTGAAGTCATCCTTTCCACGCTCACCGCACCAATTTGTTATGAATCAGATGTCTTGAAATAAAATATAAACGGTTTCTTTATGATCAAGAAACACATAAGGGTTAGGGTTAACAAAGAAACTAAGGTAAAACAACAAGGATAAACAAAATTTGGTTATAAATTGTTATTCTTTCCTTTCTCTTAGAAACAAGATTACAAGTATACAAGAATAACAAAATAACCTCTCTCTCTCTTGAAATTAAAATTTTATCTTCCTATTTTTCCTTATACCAAGATGAGAGACTAGCATCCTATTTATAAGAAAAATAGCATACTAACCTAATGAACTTTTTAACAATTACCTATTATAAGCTAACTTAGGGTATAAGCTAACTTAAACAATTGGGCTTACAAGCAAGACTCAATTCAATATGCTAACACACCTAGCAATATTGACTAATGCATGTTAGAACAAACTTTGACTACAACACGCATTACTCCGACAGCAGCATGCAAACAAATTTTGACTTCATACTTAATTCTTATCGAACCAGAAACTATCCTTCGATCATACTAGAGTTCAATCTAATATCTCATAAAGCTCATTCAGAATCCTTTAGAAAGTTTCTTAATTAAGAAAACTCTCCACACTTAAAAGGGGAGACAAACTTTTTCTTCTTTTGCATTGGTGATTCAAATCCATTTGAACTCCTTTATATTTATACAACTTACTATTACACAATTTTAGTGAATCTCTTACAACTTGAAACACTCTTGCACGAAAAAAAATAAAAATAAAACTATTAGAGTTTTTTACAAGAGTTTGAGAGAAACCAAGTTTCTAAGCCCTTAAAAATAATAATGATTCTAAAAGACTTACATAGACGTTCAAGTAGAAACACAAAAGAAACAATGAAAAAAATCAATTCAACTAATTCATGTAAATGAACTAATCAAATATGAGTTTAACTAAACTTGATTCGATTCAAATGAACAAATAAATCAATTAATATGATAAATGATTCAATTAACTTTCATTTTTTATTTGATTCAAATGGCACTGCATGAACTAAATGCGAGCTGAATCAATTTAGACTAAGACATAATTCAATTCACTTGAATCAATTCAAATAGAACATTGAATCTATTCACAAAGTATATAAGCATTCAAAAACACATTGAATTTATTTCCACCAAAACGTCTTTCGATTCACAAAGTTATAGAGAACTCACAAAATGTATTTGGTTCAATTCAAACATACAAAACTTTGTACAAATATAATATTATGCATAAAAATTCATTTTAAATGCAATGCAAAAGACATCCAACATAAATGGATTAAATATAAGTTAAACTACTATAAAATACTCAAAACAAACATATTAAATCTATTAAACCTATAGCTGAAAACTAAAGTGCAACTACAAAGATAAGACAAATTAAACAGAAGAGCTTTGATTTTGATTTTGATATTGATATTTTGTTCAAAAGCAAATTGTTCTAAAAATTAACTTGCAAATAAATCTTTAATAAAGCATTCATCTTTATTAATCAAGTTTAATTCCTTGATTATTTATGTTGATACTTGTGAACTCAATCCTATAATAATATGTGATGGGTCTAAAATAGGGATGGAGTGCTTGAATAGAAAGTTTTACTTGTAGGGCACATCTATTGAAACATAATAATTAGCAAATAAAATAACATAAAGTAAGTAGTGATTACCTCTAGAATAGTAACAAGTCTTCACTCTCTATAACAAGAAGAATTTTCAGCTCAATAATGCAAGTTTCAGTTTCACACACTCACTTCACACTATGACCCTCTCATCTAGCACCTTTACCTTTGTCACCATCATCTTCCTTTTTCTCAACCTGGCCCTCACTCAACCACCTCCATTTGCTTGTGACTCTTCAAATCCATCCACCAGATCCTACCCTTTTTGCAACCCAAAGCTTCCCATCACACAACGAACCAGAGACCTTGTTTCCAGACTCACATTGGACGAGAAACTCTCTCAACTCGTTAACTCAGCCCCTCCCATTTCCCGACTCGGCATCCCTGGTTACCAGTGGTGGAGTGAAGCACTTCATGGCGTTGGCAATGTTGGCCCTGGCATCTTCTTCAATGGCACTATCACTTCCGCAACTAGCTTCCCTCAAGTTATCCTCACCGCTGCTACATTTGATTCCCATCTTTGGTACCGAATCGGTCAGGTACATCCTCCACATTTTGAATTTAAGTCCATATATATAACTGTTAACTAGCACACCAACACCATACATTCAGATACGTCAAATATGGATGTGATGTTAGTGTCAGACACTAAATGAACACCAGAGATATCTTTGTTCAGAAGTGTCGGTACTACAGGGATTGTTAGACTAGTTGGAAATTTACGGTAACAATATGAAATCACTTACATACGAAAGATCCATTTAGCAAAGTGTGTTATAGTTTTTGAATTAATGTGGAAATGAAATAGGTAATTGGGGTTGAAGCTAGAGCAATGTACAATGGAGGGCAAGCAATGGGGATGACATTTTGGGCACCAAACATAAACATATTTAGGGATCCAAGATGGGGTAGAGGACAAGAAACAGCTGGTGAAGATCCTATGATGACTTCTAACTATGCTGTTTCCTATGTTAGAGGACTTCAAGGTGATTCATTTCAAGGTGGTAAGTTAAGGGGACACCTTCAAGCTTCTGCTTGTTGCAAACATTTCACTGCCTATGATTTGGACAATTGGAAGGGCGTTAATCGCTTTCACTTCGATGCTAAAGTAAGTTCGTCTCTTGATATTACAAACTCAAACTCTTACACTGAGCGCTGATGCCTCGTAGACAATTATTGAATTGATACTAAATTGCCATGACTTTTTATGATTCAGGTGAGTTTGCAGGATTTGGCAGACACATATCAGCCACCATTTCGTAGTTGTGTAGAGCAAGGACGAGCTAGTGGGATAATGTGTGCTTATAACCGTGTAAATGGTGTTCCAAGTTGTGCTGATTACAATCTCTTAACTAAAACAGTTAGAAAACAATGGGGATTCCACGGGTGATTAATCATTTCATTTTTTACCTTATCTATCTGAATCAATGAATGGTTTGGTTAGTTATTAATTAAGTCTAACCTTTTGGGGTGAAAAAAAAAAACAGGTATATCGCTTCAGATTGTGGAGCAGTTGGGATCATACATGACCAACAAGGATATGCAAAATCAGCAGAAGATGCTGTAGCCGACGTTATGCAAGCTGGTATATATTTTGCGACCTAACCATCTTTATACATTGTTATCATCAGTTTCTTATTTTGCTTTATTTGTGATAATGCTAATAATAATAACAATTGTAATGCTTACTCATAAAGCATTTGTCACTTATCTTTTGTCTGTTTGTATGGCTTTGAATATCATCCGCATGATAGTAATTATAAATTCATAGTAGGCATAATAGTCACATGGTTTTGGCCCACCTGTTGTACTATACCACTACACTAGCCATGTGTTTCTCAGTCTCAACTAACCCTTTGTAATAATTCTGATGAATCGTAATGAATGTGCATTGAAATTTTGCAGGGATGGATTTGGAATGTGGAAATTATTTGACAGACCATGCAAAATCAGCAGTGCAGCAGAAGAAGTTACCTATATATCAAATAGACCGTGCTCTTCACAATCTATTTTCAATTAGAATAAGGCTAGGCTTATTTGGTGGAAATCCAACCAAGCTTCCATTTGGAATGATTGGTCCCAACCATGTTTGTTCCGAAAATCACTTATATCTAGCTCTTGAAGCTGCAAGAAACGGCATTGTCCTTTTAAAGAACACCGCTTCACTTCTTCCACTTCCAAAAGCAAGTAGTATTTCCTTAGCAGTGATAGGTCCTAATGCCAATGCTTCACCTTTAACTCTTCTAGGAAACTATGCCGGTCCTCCTTGTAAATATATCACTATACTCCAAGGGTTTCGACATTATGTTAAGGACGCTGTTTTTCATCCTGGCTGTGATGGTGGACCAAAGTGTCCTTCAGCGCAAATAGACCAAGCAGTGGAAGTTGCAAAGAAAGTTGATTATGTGATTTTGGTTATGGGATTGGATCAAAGTGAAGAAAGGGAAGAACGTGATCGCGTTCACCTTGACTTGCCAGGCAAGCAACTTGAACTCATTAACAATGTTGCCAAAGCTTCTAAGCGACCAGTTATTTTGGTGCTCCTTTGTGGAGGCCCTGTAGATATTAGTTCAGCCAAATATGATGATAAAATTGGAGGTATCATTTGGGCTGGTTATCCCGGTGAACTTGGAGGCATTGCACTTGCACAGATTATCTTTGGTGATCACAATCCAGGTGAAATTTCTTCTATAAAATTCGCACACGTAAACTATTGAACAAATATAAGGAGATCAGATATTATACAATTTGGTTCATGAAAATGAGAACTTCTGTTACAACTTGTATAAATAATATAACAAAGTGTCCTTATGGTGCAATCTGATTTTGATGACTTTGCAAAAAAGTTTTAAACTGATAGTACATAGTTCTGAATTTCGTTATATATTAAATCTTTAGATTACAAAAATGCAAGATTGTTTGTAGATTTACAATTTTATTACTCAATTTTAGTCATCAATGCAATGCAGGAGGAAGACTACCAATTACTTGGTACCCAAAAGATTACATAAAAGTGCCAATGACAGACATGAGGATGAGAGCCGATCCTTTAACTGGCTATCCAGGAAGAACTTACAGATTTTACAAGGGTCCTACAGTGTATGAATTTGGCCACGGACTAAGCTACACAAAATATTCCTACGAGTTTGTTTCTGTAACACGCGACAAACTTCATTTCAATCTATCCACCACTCATTTGACAGTTGAAAATTCAGAAACGATAAGGTACAAATTAGTTCCAGAGCTGAGTGAAGAAACCTGCAAGAGCATGTCGGTCTCTGTCACAATTGGTGTCAAAAACCATGGAAACATGGTGGGGAGGCATCCTATATTGCTGTTTATGAGACCGCAAAAACAGAGAATTGGAAGTCCTATGAAACAATTGGTTGGTTTTCATAGTTTGTTGTTAGATGCCGGGGAAATGAGCCATGTTGGATTTGAACTTAGTCCTTGTGAGCATCTTAGTAGAGCGAACGAGGCTGGTTTAAAGATCATAGAAGAAGGGTCTCATTTTTTGCTTGTAGGGGATGAAGAATACCTAATAGATGTCATTGTTTGATGCTACATATTTATTCTTCAACAGGTAAAGCTAATATATTGAACCTGTTTATGAAACCTGATTTTTTTTTCAAGAATACAAAACCATAAAATGTACTGTAATGTATATGATGTTTAGATGATGGATGTGCTTCTTTTTCAAGTTCTTTACATTACTTTTGTTAGGCTTAACTAATTTAGTGAAGCCAGTTAAAGTAAACTTACCTTTGTAATAAAGCATATATAAAGGCATTTTTCTATCGATGATATTCCATTCTATCCTAACAAGCGGTATCAAGGCCAACTTGGGACCTGTGGGGGGTCTCTCTCGACAGAAAATAAAAATGCTGTTTTTTAGATTTTGGGCGAGAAAGTTAGTTATGACAGTTATGTTCATCTTTTCCTCCGTTTCTCTCCTCAAGGCTCATCAATGTCGCAATCTTCCAAGTTCGCATAACTTGCAATTCCTAAGTTCAATGGCTTGTATGATCACTAGGAAATGTCGATAGAGAATCTTCTCCTATCAAAAGAATATTAGGTTCTAATAGAGAATAGCCTGACAACTGCTCCCTTCGCTGCCACATCAGAGCAACACAAGCTTGCATAAGAGAGCAAGCTCCGAGTTCTCAAGGTCAAGAACTACCTATTTCAAGCAATTGATTACGACATTCTTGAATCAATTCTTGTTCACGATACGACGAAAGACATTTGGGAATTGTTACGACAAAGACATTTGGGAATCGCTGCGAAGAAAGTATCAAGGCTCACCCAAGGTCAAACGAGTTCAATTACAGGCACTGCGCAGAGAATTTGAGATTCTTGCCCAGTAAGATAATGAATATGTTAATGATTACTTTGATAGAACCTTGATAATTGCGAATAAGATGACTCCTCACGGGAAAGATTAGAACAAACCATGATTTATGAGAAGGTACTGCGTTAAATGGTTCCCAAATTCAATTACGTAGTATGCTCTATCGAGGAATCAAATGATGTTACCATACTCACCATTGATGAAATGCAAAGTAGCCTTCTAGTGCATGGACAAAGAATGAAGGCTTGTCAAGAAAAAGAGAAAAAACAGGTGTCGAAAGTCTCAAACTCTGGACGTGGATATGGGCGTAGCAGGAAACGTGGAGGACCACGATGACGTGGAAGTGGAAGACAAAACATAAAATTCATTGTGTTTCAAACGCCACAAGCTAGAACACAATCAAAGTAAGTGTACTATTTAGGGAGATAATGATGCAAACTATATTGAATTTGATGAGAGTGATAAATTTCATCACATGGCTGTCTATGTGCTCAATAGAAGTCCTACACTGTCTGTGAAAGATGTTACTCCAGAATAAGCTTGGAGTGATGTAAATCCATATGTGCATCATTTTAGAGTATTGGTTGCTTAGCTTTTGTGCACATCCCTAATGTACAAAGAAATAAGTTATCTGCTAAGATTATCAACTGTGTGCACCTGAAAAATAAATAAGTAGACATCAATGTCAACTAGCAATTTTGAAAGTGATGAAAGCAACGACGAAGACATCAATGAGATTGATGAGACTAATTAAAGAGAGGAAACTTCAGTAGAAAAAAACGTACATCAACAATGATTCTCAAGATGATGGGGCATTGAAGAACATGCAAATGAAACCTAAGAAGATGAACTCCCTCTTAGGCCTAAGAAGATGCCAGGTTATCTAAGTGATTATGTGAATGGTCAAAAAAGTGAAAAAGAAAATTATAAAAATTATAAAAAACAGACATATTTTACTATTTATTTATTTTTAATATAAGTTACTTAGTAAATTTAAATTTATTAATATTTTTTTGTCAAAACATTGATATTTAATTTATCATTGAAAATAGATATCCATTTTCTTTTTAAAGTATATAAAACTAAACCTCTCTTTTTATTACTTCACCATTTTTTTTATAAAAATTATTACTCTAATCACCTTTATAATACTGATACTGGTTAGAGTATGTATTTGGTTTAAAAGATTAATAATAAAAAGATAGTAAATTTATTAGATTGAAAAATGTACACTTAAAATAAATTAAAATTTTCAATTTACTAAATTGAAATTTATTGATGATGCATGTATGTTATGCTTTCATATATGGGACATATCTAATAAGAATGTTATTCTTATGTGAGAATGATAAGAATAATTATTAGTCCTTAAATTAAAAATAAATGATTGAGATTAAAAACTTATTTAAAGAACATGTGTGTCTCTTTCATCATTCTAGAGATAAGGCACAAAAAATAGTGTAAACTTGACCAATTGATTCTAGTCAAAAGCATAGTAGATGATTTCAATCTAGGTAAAAATAATCTCCTAATTTCATTTTGGTGATTTGAGTCATGTGATTTGAATGATACTCAATCATGATTCAAATCACATTTCCATACCTTATTTTAAAAACCAAAGATTCTTTCATGATTTGAATGAAACAGCTATTGATCCGGATCAAAACACACTTATGGTTTTAATCAAGTGTAGGCATGACCCGAATCACGTTTTCAGAACGAGATTCCATATTTTCAAATCAAAGAAAATGATTATAATCAAAGAATTGCATGAAAAACTTCATGATTTGGCTCAAAAAGAAAATTGTCCAATGGCCAAATTAAATATCATAGTCGATTACGCCATAGAGATGATTGATTACGAACTCTAGAATGCAGAAAACCTAATTCCCGAAAAGGAAAACCTCCAACTTCTAGTGTCATAATCGATTAGGATTGTTTCTATTCGATTATAAAGTCCCTAGTCGATTTGGAAGTGTAAAAAATTCCCCAATTAATTAGGATTGTTTCTAATCAATTATAAAGTCCAAGAAGGGGAAGTCAAGGGCTGAGATGGGTTTTAAGGAATTCAAGGAGTTGTAGATAAGACCTTTTGTGATGGGGGATAAATGTGACTATCACTCAGAGTCACATTGTCAAGCTTATGTATATGAACAACATTGGAAGATGCACTTTGAACACTAAAGATAGAAGTCGAGAATCTAGAGTGATCAAGCAATGTTTGTTTCCCAAATCTGGAGACTATGGAAAAGTGAAGAACATGGAGATTGAGTACAGACTTCACTTCAGAATCTTGATTGGCTGCTTGATTCCAAGAGAAGGGAGCACTGGTCAAATCTATTAGGATCACAAAAAATCCATTTGGCTTTTGGTCAACATGGAGAAGGTCAACCTTCATGCATACATCTTCAACCATATGTGTGAAGCTACCAAAAAAGCATAAAACATGATAAAAAGAATGTTCCTTATGCAAGGTTTCTTTCTGAATTATTTCATTAGAGTAGGTTGATTGAGGCTCTGATGAATTTTGGTGCTACATAAGATATGGAGGAAACATATGGGAATACCCTCTCAGCTGTTATGTTGGGGAATATGAATATTATCAATAAAAGAGACGTGATTCAACCTGGTGTTGGCCTTAAGAACAAGAATGGAAAGACTGCATATATAGATAGCTTTCCAGTCATTTCCAAGCTGGACAATCTTAAAGTTATTAAGGAATACATCAAGATGGCTAGGGAACATGCTGGAGTTATCCTAACCTTGAAAGGCATTCTAGAAGCTCATGAAGGCAGTGTGTACAAGCCTTTCAAGAAAAAAGAAGCAAGATGCTTCTGAAACTGAGAAGGTGGTTCAGAAGCCACCTAAGAAGAAGGTTATACATCAGACAGGATTGCAGAAGGAGGTTCAAGAAGTGTCCTCTATAACTATCTTGATTTATCAACTCTAAGACATATATAACACTATATGCACTGAATTTCTTTGTTTTGGTTTGTTTACCTTTAACGCACTCAAAACAAACATCAAAGTTTTTGAAGTCAATGGAATCCAAGATTCCACCTGAAATTAGTCACTCAACTATATTTTTAGAGATATGACCTAGGCGTTTATGCCATAATGATCATGAATCATTATTATCAAGTTTATGCTTAGTATTACATGATTCCTCGTATAAGGATTCACTATATGTAGCTATTGTGTCAAGCAAATATAGATTATCATGACCCATAAGTGAACCAGTTCCAACAATATCTATATTAAAAGAAAACTTAAACATATTGTTTCCAAATGAACATAAATAACCTGATTTATTCAAATGAGAAACTGGAATTAAATTCCGTCTAAATGACAGTACCACAAAAGTGTCTTTCAAATCCAAATAAAATCCAACACACAATAATAATATAAAATTCCTTATAGCTTCCACCTCCACTGACTTGCCACCTCTAACATAGATGTGTCTTTTAACATCATTTGGCTTCTGGTAGTTTATGTAACCCTGCATTGAAACACTGATGTTAGTAGTTATACCAAAGTTTAATCACTATGTGTTTTTAGGTACTGAAGCTAAATTGACCTTAGAACATACCAAATTATGAAATGTACCTTTCCTTGCACTCCAAGCGTGATATTTAGAATATTTCTTATTTGTATGTCCAAACATTTTGCAAAAGTAGTATTTTTTAACCCGTTTTTGTTTCTTTTGTGTTGGAACATTTACAACTTCATTCTTGGGCTCTTTAGTTTTTTTTATTTTGCTCTTGTCTTTAGAGGTTCCAACAAAAGAAGCACTTTTTGTCTTATCTTACTTCAACCTTTCCTCTTCTTGCACACGAAATGAAGTGAGCTCATAAAGAGACCATTTCTCCTTTTAAAAATTATAAGATATCTTAAATTGACCGAAGTGTGAAGGAAGAGAAAGTATTACTAAATGAGCGAGTAAGTATTCCAACAACTCAAGCTTTAGTGCCTTAAGTGTTGAAACAATGTTGGACATGCCCATAATGTATTCCTTTATATTTGCTTGCCTTGATACTTCATGGAAATCAAGTTCGGAAGAAGAGTACTTGTTTCCACCTTATCGCTTTTTGAAAAGCATTTTTCAATATCAATAAGCAAATATTTGGCATTTGTTATCTCTTCCGAGATAGTACCCCTAAAGATCAGGAATGCCCCGCTTAATGATCATGTGACTCATGCGATTGGAG